TTTTTTTTAAGTTCTTTTTTACTTTCTTGACTTTAAAGTTGAATACCTTAAAAATTGGGTTTTAGGAGTGTTTTAAATTTAAACAGTTTTAAATTTTCTGTACTGTCTGTGACTGCGGATTGTACATTATTTACCTTTTGTAGATTCCTTTGATAATTTTTTAAAGTCTGTATTTGTCAATTTATGTTACAATGTTATTACTTGCTTATTAAATCCTATCAAATTTCAGACTTGGTCATTATCATTATTAATTCTTTGTGCATTAGTTTTGTTCTTCCTAATTTACAATAATGTTTTTAGTTTCTTTGCCTAGTTTATTGGTTCATTATAGTCTCAGGTTTATTAGTTTGGAAGTTTACAACTATATGCTCAGAATATTTAACCAATTAAAATGATTTTGCTCACTTTAAAACAGGGTTGTTTAGATGGCTCTATGAAAAATTTCGCTATCCGTTTGCTCCAATGTATGGAGGGTTTCCAGTGAAGTTACGAACTTATTTAGGTGATCCCATTCCATATGATCCAAAGATAACAGCAGAAGAATTAGCTGAAAAGGTAATTATTCTTTCATAGTCTTATGGAATATTTTTCTTTTAAATTGTTATATTTTAGATTATCATTTTCTAGTCATCGATATATCTTATAACCGTGTTCCAGGTGAGTGATTCTCAACCAGGAACAATTTTGCCCTCCCTCCCCCAGGGGACATTTGACACTGGAAACAATAGGTGCTTGAAGTGGGGAGCTACTGGCATCTAGTGGGCAGGCCAGGGATGCTGCTAAACAACCTACAATGCACAGGACAACCCCCACAACAAAGAGATACTTATTCTAAAGTGGCAATAGTGCTGAAGTTGAGAAACCTTCACTTAGGCACTGAAAATATATAAGTTCAGTAAGAAATATTCAGAAGAAAGTTTAGACCTCCATGAAAAGAAATAAATTGTTTGTATGCTGTTGGATAATCACTGAACTGATTACTGCAATGTCAGTGGTTCAAACCCACCAGCTGCTCCTCGGAAACCCTATACAGGATAGTGATGAGTTGGAGCCAACCCGACGGCACTTAACAACAATAACAGTATCTTGAGAGGAAGATAGAATATAATTGAGAGTTTTGGGTTGTGGGTCAGATTGGTCTGGCAGCACTATTTGCCAGCTGTGTGACTTTGGGGCATTTGTGCCTCACTATCCTCATCTGCAAAGACGAAAAGAGACCCTACTCACACTTATTTGTGAGGGTTGTGAGACACCCAGATCCAATGTGTAGGAGATTTACTGACATACAAGTCAAGTACCCTATGAATGCTGGCTGCTGTCCAGTTGGAGTGATGAATAACTAAATCAGTGTTTATAGTAATGGCATGCTCACCTCAGGAGTTATCAGCTTCTGTACCGTAGACATTTTGGTTCAGATAATTCTTTGTGGTGGGGGATGTTTACTAGCATCCCTTCAAAGACTGTTTCTTTATGTGTGTAAACTTTTTCTTGACTTTATGTAATAGCAGTCTCTTAAAATATTTGCCCTTTTGTGATTGACTAATTTCATTCTGTATAATATTCTCTGTGTTCAGCCATGTTGTCAGGTGTTTTACAGATTTAATCATTATTTTTGTACACAGTGTAGTAGTCCACTGTGTCTATGTACATTTGTTAATCCATTCTTCCAATGATGGGCATTTAGGTTGCTATCATCTTTTTGCTATTATGAACAACAGTGCTGTAATTAATATGGAAGTGCATATATCTGCATGCTGTGGCTCATATATCTCTAGGATATATATTTAGAATGGGATTGTTCGATCATAAGATATTTCTATTTCCAATTTTTTAAGGAAGCACCATAAGCACTCAACCTCAAGGTCAGTTTGAACTGAATGGTTGGAGGTTCAAACTCACCAGCCACTCCTCAGAAACCCTATACAGGGCCATAGGGTCGCTATGAGTCAGAACTGACTCGACAGCACTTAACAACACAAATGAATGACAAAGGATCATAAGCATTTCTTCGTGTGTTTGTTGGCTTTCTGAATGTCTTCTTTGATATCTGTTTATGTCCTCTGCCCGAAGGACTATTTATCTTGTTGAGGTATTAGCATTTTCTATAAATTTTATAGATTAGTAATTTGTCTGATACGTCATTGCCAAAAATTTTTCCTCTGTTTATAGGTTCTCTTTTTACTTTTCTGGTTAAATATTTTGATGCACATAAATGTTTAATTTTTAGGAGGTCCCAGTTGTTTAGTTTCTCTTCTGTTATATCTACATTTTTAGTTATGTCATGAATTAGGGTGCCTAAGTTTGCTACAATTTTTTCTTAAGATCATCTTTATAGTTTTAGAATTTACAGTTACATCTTTTATACATCTTGAGTAAGTTTTTACGTATGATGAGAGATATGGATCCTGTTTCAGTTTTCTGCAAATGGTTACGTAGTTTTGCCAGCACCATTTGTTTTAAGAGACTGTTTCTTCCCAATTTAATAGCTTTTAACCCTTTGTCAAAAGTAACTGTGCTAGGTTGATGGATTCACTTCTGCATTCTCAATTCTGTTCCATTGGTCAAGGTGTCTGTCACTATACCTATATCAGTCTGTTTTGACTACTGTGGCTGTTACATAGGACGTTTTGAGATTGGTAAGTATGAAGCAGGTTTCCTACTTTCTTCTTTTTTAACAATGCTTGTCTTATCTATGTTCTCTTTCTTTTCCATCTCTTTAAAGAATGATATTGTAATCCGCATCTGGATAGCATTATATCTGTAGATCATTTTGGGTAGTATTGATATTTTCACTACGTTAAGTCTTGGCTATCCATGTTATATTCTTCCATTTGTAGGTCTCTTGGTTACATATTGTAATGCTTTGTAATTTTCTTTGTACAGATCTTTTGCTTCTCTGGTGAGATTTATTCCTAAGTACTTCATCTTTTGGGTGAAACTATAAAAGATATTGTTTACCTGATTTCCTTATTAGAGTTCTCTTTCTTAGTGTGGAAGAATCCAACTGATGTTTGCATGTTGATCTTGTTGAGTCTGTAGGGTTTTCTGTGTATACTGTCATATGTTCCGCAAATAGAGTTTTGCT